TGGCCTCCAGAGACAGCTGACATGGCCCATTCCAGAGATTCCACAGAAAGAGCATGGTCCGTGCGCACTGTGCCTACAGTAAGCAGTTTAGAGCCTCATTCTTAACAAGAGCTTGCTAAAGTAAACATGTCAGGGCTGGAGAGATGGTTTAGCAGCTATGAGCACTTGCTGCTTTTGCAGACGACCCAGGTGCAGTTCCCAGCACCTACATGGTGGCTTACAACCATACACAACTCCAGTTCAAGGATCTAATACCCTCTTCTGGCCTCCACAGAATCTCGTCACATACATGCATGCAGGCAAACTACATAAAAACAAAGTAAATATTTTTTAATTATTTTGGAAAACATTGCAGAGGAACAAACATGAAGAAGCAACATAAAGATACAGTGCAACCAACTAATCATAAAATGCGTGTGTATTTAATAGTCTCAAACCACAGTGTAAATCAGAGCACGCTGGCTTTTGAAATGAGGGGCCTAAAACAGCATCAGCAGGTGGCAAGCTAATGTGTTCTCTCCCATCTTCTTTCTAGTCACTGACAATGGGCACAATGACTAAGTAAGCTTGGAAAGGCCTGGGTCATTAGCCAAGATCGATCCATCTTCTCTTAGCAAACATTATTGGGTTGCCTAGCACACAGGCTGAGATTTCAATCACTGCCTGTCCTTCCTGAATCTTCCTCCGCAGGCGAAAATCAAATTAGAGGCAGAAAATCAAGCTCGGCTCCTCTCTGATGGCCTCTGTAGCCTTCTTTCATTTTCCTGTCTGACAAGGGAATGAAAAGACTGATTCTATCATTTTGCCGGCAGGTTAGGTTCTTGCAATATCTCTGTAGGTCTACCGCCCTGACTGACTTGAGCCAGGTCAGCACTGGCCACGTGACAAGCCCTGGGTGCTGTCTGCTAAAACAAAGGCTGTGAGGTTTTCTTTTTAGGACCCAGCCATGTCTGCAGCTGCTTGCTCGTTCAAAGGGTAGAGAATCAACTTGCGAAAGGATGAATGGCAAGAAAAGCACCCGAAGCTGTCTTCTACAAAGTCACAGGATTAGAGCCTCTGTGTCTTCATTATCTTGATGCTATAGATTTCCAATCTATCTAGACCCGGATAGAAAGAAAAACTAAGCAGCCTGGGTACTGACCTGGATGAGGAGGAATTGCTTTGGTAGACGAGAGGGTCACGGGTAAAAATCTATAAGCTATGATAAAGATTGGGGGACACTCCTGGTGTGTCAGGGAGGATACGCTACAATGCCTCTTCTTGAAAAGCATGACGGCAACATCCGTGCTGCAGTGGAACTTTTAAGGATTTATTCATCTTTATCTTATGTGTGTGAGTGTTTGGCCTGGATGTATGTCTGTGCACCCCATGTGTGCACCTATTGCCACCAGAGAGGGTGTCAGACTCTCTAGAACTGGAGTTACAGATGGTTGTGAGCTGCCATGTGGATGCTGGGAACCAGATGAGGTCCTCTGCAAGAGCAGTCAGTGCTCCTAATGGTCGAGCTATCTCGCCAGCCTCTCATAATGGACTCTACACCGGTGCTAAGTCTAATTTTGTAATCTCATTTTAAGATTGCAGAGCGGATGCCCCTGAAATAACCTGTTAGACAAAGAGTAAAAGAGCATCCGATGATTCTAAAGGAACTATTTGAAGCTCTGCCTTGAGCAGTGTGGCACCGTGTCTTCTTAGCCAGGACAGTGCCTCTTAGGGTTAAATTCAATTAAAGTGCAAATTTCTGTGAGATACCTAAACCTCAGGCCACCCTGCAGGGTGACACCAGGTTCCCGGCATCATGTAACCCACCCCAGAGAAGACACACAACCAACCATGATACAACACAGTCATATATACATGTTCATGTTCATGCATATTCATATACATCTGTGCGCATGTGTAGAAATACATGTTTGACATGTTATGAGGAGATTACTACACGGCCCTTGCAGGCACATGTGATAGTAAAACAAACATTTAGCTTAGTGTAGAGCCACAATGTTGAGGAAGCAATGGGGACGTTTAGGGCTTAGCAGACTGTCAAAAAAAAAAAAAAAAAAAGACAATTTAAAAAATGAGAGTTTGGAGCACTTTAAATAGAAAGGCTGCAGTGAAGACACCTGAGGTGGAGCAGTCAGACCTCGCACCAACCACAAGTCTGGGAAGCCCCTAGAATGACTGGAAAGGAACCTGAACTTATTGGTCCTCAGAGAGGGCACCAGCGCAGGACGGTGACGACATCCGTGTTGTAGACCGGGAGAAGCCAAGTGAGCGGAAGGAAACGATGGCGAGACAAGCCACTTCCTGAGGTTACACGCTCCTGCACACCATCTCCAGAATGACACTGGGTTTGACCAACTGAAAGGGGTCAAGGAGCTGACTTAGAGACTCCATTATCTTACGTAATTCTCTTGGACATCCTTTTGCTCTCAAGACCTGAAGAATCTCAGAATTAAAATTCTTTCAAGAATATAGAATATTTGAGACTCGATAGGAACCATGACATATGAAACTATTACCAAGAATTTTATGAAACAGGTCGTGTTTTTAAGTGTGTGGTGCAAGAAGAAACTGCAGCTGGGTGATAGGGCTGGGTATGTGATACACTATAAATCTCTCTTTGAAACTTCTCATGAGAAGTTTTTTTCCGTTTTCTTACTATGAGCTGTTGCAGATGGCTCCTGTATCATTAAAAGAGCATTGAAAAGAGAAATTAAAATTTTGTAGATTCAGCATACTTATAATTAAAACTTATGGTTCTTAATTATGTCCATAAGGTTTTATACGGTTTTTTGTCTTGTTTTTTTGACACAGGGTTTCTCTGTATAACCCTGGCTATTCTGGAACTCACTCTGTAGACCAGGCTGGCCTCGAACTCAGAAATCCGCCTGACTTTGCCTACCAAGACCTGGGATTAAAGGGGTGTGCCACCACTGCCCGGCTTTAGGTTTTATAATCCTTAATTCTTAAAACAAAACTGTGAGCCAGGTCTGGTGGTGCACGCCTTTGATCCCAGCACTTGGAAGGCAAAAGCACATGGATCTCTGAATCTGAGGATGGCCTGGCCTATGTGGTGAGTTCCAGGACAGCCAGAGCTACATAGTGAGACCTTGCTTCAAAAGAAAAACTAAAACCAAAACCAGAAAACAATTTATATGATGCACATGCTATCAAAATATGTATGTGTTTGTATGCTGGCAGAAGAAAAGCGTTAATTTGATTTGTAAAAAGTAATTCTGGAGTTGTTTGAGCTGCAGAGTGATGTGCATCGTTTGAGAATGCATACCTGGCTGGTTTCTGGAACCCCAGACCACATTACCTCATTGATACTTTTGCCTGAGTAGCTTCCTCTACTTAATGACTAGGAAGGAGCTCAGCTTAGAATGTTCTCAGCTGAGAATATTCAGAGAACGTGTAGCAAGGCTTCCGCCCACTTCCCTAGGCTGCCGCCTTCCCTCTCTGCACTCTGTCCCAGGAAAACACAGCCAACTGCAGAGGCCTACAGGTCCTGAAGCCAACCTTAGGCCTCAATACCCCACTCACTGGCTTTTGGTCTTGGATGAGCAACGGTTACTCCAACTGGCAGTGAACACTTACTCCTAACCCAGCTGGGTAAATGAGTCAGCACTATGGCCTCCGTCTTCATCACAGCGGTCCCCTAGCCTCTACAGCATCCCTGTGGCATGAGGCATCTTCACTCCCTTCAAACCCAAAGGGCCACCTAAAATACCATTTGTACCTCCAATGCCACCTGAACACTCTAATGCCAAGGAGCTAAGACAGTTCTCCACCCTCCTGGCAAAGCCAACAGTCTTCTTCTGTTTAACTCACATGTCTGCATATTGGGGATGATCTTTCTTTTTTAAAAAAAAAAAAGATTTATTTTATATATATATATAAGTTCACCATTGCTCTCTTCAGACATAAACCAGAAGAGGGCATCAGACCCCATTACAGATGGTTGCAAGCCACCATGTGGTTTCTGGGAATCGAACTCAGGACCTCTTGAAAGCAGTCAGTGCTGCTCTTAACTGCTGAGCTATCTCTCCAGCCCCAGAGATGATCTTTCTATTCAGCCCTTCATTCCTTTTGATATCAAGTGTTCTCTCACCTTTGAGGTAGAGGATGCCCCCTTTCACACTTACTGCCATCTCTTAGGAGAGCTCCCAAAGAATTCCCAGCCACCCGTCAAGCAATTCCACATGGGCAGACTGCTAGTAAGTCAAGTTTAATACACCTAGATGAAAACCCAATCTGATTCCCCTAACCACCTCGGGAGGCTCCTGAGTACGCTACCTGCCTTTTCCCTATCACCCCAAACAATGGCAACTCTCGGCTCTAACTCCAAGCCTGCTTCTATTAAATACATGCTGAATGCTAGAGATTCTTCTATTGCTTTCTCTTCTATTTTTCAGGCCCTGATTCACTCCAGCCTGAACCACATATGACTCTCTCCTCCAGGTATCTGGCCACCATGCTGTCTACCATCATCCTGGTTTATGACTCGACAGGATCTAAGCCAGACACTTATTTTTGGTCGTTGTCCTCATCACCGCCTCCAGTCCCACTCTCTAACTGTTCCTCATCCATTGTGAATGTAAAATGTGTGTAGCTCAGGTATGGTGGGAGGATCCAGCGTTCAGGGTCACCTTTGGCTACACAGCAAGCTCAAGACCAACCCAAACTACGTGAGACCTTGACTTAAAAACAATAATTAAAAAAAAAAAAGATGTTCACTAAATTAAGTTAATTTAAGTCTTTACAACAACCTGGAGAATAGTACAGATTCTCTTCTATTTCCTGTGGTGTTTTATCTGGCCACATGATTTCTCTTAGAGATCTCCAAGGTGAATTCTGAAGCCACTGCTGCTGTCTGGATCGGCACTTCACAACAATACTAGCTCTTAATGTGGTCAAGTACAGTATTCCCTTTGGAAAATTCATATTACAGCAGCTAATGCAAAAGTTAAAAAAAAATGAGATTTATGGATGGCTCTACTCACCAAGGGTTCAGCCATTACAACTTCAATTTTCTTTTCAGCTTGAACAGCAAATTCTGCAAAGAGACTCTTGATGACATATTCACCAGGCTTGACATCGGGGTCAATCGTGATGCTTGACATGATGGTGCTCTTTCTTCCCGAACTGGAATGGAAGCTGGAAGCGGCACAGAACTTATTCACTTTGCTGACTGGTGCTGAAGCTAAAATCAGAGAGACAGAAGAGCCCTGTATTAATAACTGGCTCTGTGAACCTGGACCTACTGCACGCACCTCAGCGGAATCACACCTCATCCCCTCCCGGATCTCCCGACCTCAGTTGCCCTCCTCCAGATCTCTCTCACGCTTGCCATGCTGGTGCCTACCTAACACATCTGCAGTGCAGCCAGGCAGCACGGTTACTAAGGAGTGGCTATTTCTCCACTTTTCACTCGTGCAGTTTCCAAAACATCAGGCGTTCTCATTTGATCTGTTTTTGGCCTAGATGGTTCCCATATACCTAGAAATAGTGCCTGCCACACTTCAGGTGTACAGCTAAATATTTATTAAATGACTAGATTCTGGTCAGTGTCTAAACTGTTCTCAACCTGTGACCCCTTTGGCAAACTTCTATCTCCCAAAAATATTTACTTTATGATTAACAAAAGTCACGAAATTACAGTTTTGAAGTAGCAACAAAAATAATTTTATGGTTGGGGGGTCACTATGACTGAGAAACTGTGTTAAAGGGCCACAGCATTAGGAAGGCTGCGAGCCACTGGTCCAGAGAAATGAAGAAAATATGAGAAATGAGTACATTCAACAGGAACAGGATTGGGAGCTGGAAGATGCTACCTCAGAAGGCACACATGTGGGGGCTTCATGAAAGAAGCTACAGCTAGCTGCAGGCCTAAGTGATGAAGTACGGAGTGCAATAGTCAAGACTGAACACGGGTGAGCAAAAAGACCAAGGGCGGGTGAAGGGGCGGAGGGGGATGTGAGCGGCACTCAGACGGCCCTTTAGGACTCGTAAAGAACATTTAGTGAAAAGTATTAAGTGGGGAGGGATGGGCTCTGACATGTCCTTATAAATCTCTCTGGCTTCTCTGGCGAATGAATCCGAGGAACCCAGCCACGGCACCGGGGATGCCAGTTCAGACACCCGGTGAGATGGCTGGAACTTGGGCTAAGAGGACTCTGAAAGTAAAGGCTCGGAGCCTTGTCCAGTTTTTGTGGTACTAGGCTGAGGGGCAGGAATCAGCAGTAACTTGTGGTACCTTCTCTTAGACTTAAGAAGATGCTGTGACCAATGAATGCCCCAATAGGGATGATGGTTGTCTGCCTGTCGCAAATGGTGGAGAGAGCATTAAGCTACATCACTCTCACCTGTAACTCATCCAGCCCTGCCCATCTTCCCAGCCTGAGGCTTAACAAAGACTGGACTCTAACTCCGGCTTGTTTGACTTCTCCTGGCCTAGTGTCCTACAGACTTCTGGAATCCAAAAGCCTGTACTTCTCTCTAACCTGCTCTTCAGCTCCTGCCTCCTCCATATAAGGAACTGTCACCTAGTTAACCCCAGCCCTGAAAGGGGGGTGCAGAACATAGGTGCTTAAACACTGAATAGCTGTGGATGTATGCGTCCTACCGGGACAGCAAATTTGTTTAATAAAACACATAAATTTGAAACCTACATTGCATTTTTAAATCAAAGAAAAGTCTACTCTAAGCCAGGCATAGTGAGCACGGCACGTGCTTGCATTCTAGCAATCCAAAGGCTGAGGTAGTTACGGTCACAAGTTCAAGGTCAGCAGGGGCGGGCAAAGTTGTTGCCAAGTCAGCTGAGCCCACTTGGGGGTAGGGGGTGGGACGGTGTCTCACGTCTTAAAAAGCCTACTCCATAAAACACAGTATGTAAAGATACAGACATTTGCAACAATTATCCGAAGAGGATTGCAAACTGTTAATATTGAATCTAAAAAGTGTCTTTTATTAGCACCCAGGTAAAATACATTTTGTATTCTAAAAATTAAAACTGTATCATAAAAATAATCCGAGACAACAATTCACAGTGCTTGGAACACAGCACACATTATCTCAAACAATGGCCGGCTTGTCTATGGTGTGTCACGATCCAACATTGTGTATTATTGAGAGGGGAATCTATTAACCAGTGTCACTGTGGACAAAGTCAGAGATCTTAAATTTTTAAAAAAATTAGTTTGGGGCCCTGAAGAGCCAAAGACACAGCTCATCTCAAATGGCTTGCCCTTGCTGCCCTCTGCCCGCTTTGAAAGTAATCACGAATAAATGTGCCAAGGCAAAGGTTTTCAACCTGTGGGTCCCGAATCCTTTGGCAAACTTCTAGCTCCAAAAAGATTTACACTACAATTCATTACAGTTGTGAAGTAGCAACGAGATTGACTTTACGGTTTGGGGTCACCACGGTTTGGGGTCACCACAGCACCACGAGGAAGTGTATTAAAGGGTAGCGGTGTTAGGAAGGGTGAGGACCACTGCTCTAAGGCTTCATGACTGTGCAGTGAAAGGCATTTGTCAAGGAAGTCAAGGTTCCAGGGAAAACTTCAGTTCTCACTTACAACCCCAAACTTTCACCAACACCAAGTGTTTATATTAAATAAGTTAAAACAATATTTCAATTTATCTTTTACTTATTACTAAATTGGACTTACTACTACAAAATGGAAGGAAAAAAGCGTCTTCCCATTGAAATTTCAGGTCATAAAACATCCCAATAACATAGAGTTAGAGAAGAATTTAAGTTTTTATAGCCCTGTTAACAGCACGAGCAACTGAAATGATATGATTCAGAAATACCAAATGGCACAAGAAAAATGTACAAAACACAGTATTAAATTTATGACAACAGCAAGAATATATACAGGAAAGTAAAGTGAAACTCAGAAGAGAACTTGGAGAATGTTACACAGGGAATGAACCACTTTCAAAGCCAACCCGAAACACAAATGAAATTAAGTAGAAAACTACCAATACCTTCCCATAAAAAAAACAGAAAATAATCAACAAGGATGGAAAATAAGTAAATAAAGAGCCCAATAGGCACAAAAAATACTCACATTTGCCAGTTTTCTGATAATAAGTACAAACTGGACAACATTTGTCATCTGTCAGAGGGCTAGGAGGACCAGGCCGAGCAAGCCGTAGGGAGCAAGCCAGCAAGCTGAGCTTCCCCAGGCCTCACCATCCTGCTCCGGCCACCAGCCTCCTGTTGTGCTTGGCTTCCTACCCTGACTTCTCACAGAGATGGACAGTTAACTGGAAGTGTCAGTGAACTTGAACCGTTTACCTACCCTGACGCTGCTTTTGGTCGTGGTGTTTTATCACACCAACAGAAACCCTAACCAAGACGCTCGGTGACACTTGACCACTTGAATTAAATATTTTATAAAGTCATATAGGAGGATTGTGTTTTCTTAGTATTTAAAGCTTTAATTGTGTATGTGTATGTCTGTGTGAGTGTGTGCGCCCCTGAGCACAGTGCTCACAGAGCTCCTTAAGAGGGTGCTGGATTCCTCAGAGCTGGAGTTGCAGGTGTTGTGAGAACTGAACCCACATCCTCTAGAAGAGCAGAGTGAACTTGTAAGCAATGAGTCATCTCTCCAGACCAAACAGTAATGTTTCTCTACATGCAATTATAGAATTCTGCCCATCAAGGAATAAAATAACATAAAGGTTAGAATGTAAGTCTTAGGAATATGGTCCAGGCATTGAGTTACAAACAGAAAAATCCAATGTCACATTAAACACTCTTTAGATGTGACCTCATTGACCATGAACAGCTAGCTATGTTAGGATGAAGCAACAACTGAACAGTTTACACTTCAGCATTTCTATTTTCTCTTAAGCTCGACACACAGGGCAATTGCTAGTATTTTTATATAGTTCACTCTCTATAGCACTCTGATGATATATACAATAAAACAGCTGTCATATTAATACAACACCTGTCTCCTGATAAATTCAAATTCAGTCAAAGGCAAAGGACAAGTGAGAAGAGACATAACCCCTTGGCCCGGTATGTCACTGGGGTCATTATAACAATGGACTTCAGGGTTCTTTGCATGAGTGGCTCAATAGATAAAATGCTTGTTGGACCAGACTTCAATTCCCAGCACTCATGTAAAAGCATGCACCACCTGTGTGATGGCATGTACCTGGGATGCCACTGCTGGGGCAGAGGATGGGCTTGAGATGGGTGGATCTCTGCAGTTCACTATCAGCCAGCCTTGCTGAAACCAGTTATCTCCAGGTTCAATGAGTGAATCTTTTTCAAAAATAAGCTGGGAGATAATTTAGGAAGACATTTGACCTCTGTCATGTAAGTGCCGAGTAGTGTCCCTCATGTGGATGTCCCCCATCCTCCCTCCCATTCAAGGGCAGGTTGGCTGTGTCTGTTTTGGTGACTGTAAGAAAGCTGTCGAAAAGTGCTGTAAACTGTGTGTGGGGTGTGGTGTGGACGTGTAGTCTAGTTCCTACGGATGAAAACCATGAGCGACGATGATGGCTGTCACCTTTGTAAGAAACTACCTAAAGGCTACCTTCCCAAGCCATTCCCCCATCTTAACATTGACCTCCGACCTTTACATACGCATTTATGCACTCATGTACATGTGTGCATGCATACGAATACACACATACATACACACACACACACACATACTCCTTTGTAGGTACAGGCTAATGTAACTCAGATACAACCACTACATATATTTATATAGAGGTTTATGTGGCACAGAAATTCAGTGGCACCACAGAGTTGCTTACTATTATGATCATTACTGCTTACAGCAAGTAACAATAAGTTTTTATGGCACCTAAGAAAGAAAGGGCCTTAGAAAAATTATTAAAACCAAGAAGAAGAGGAAGAGGAGGATGAGGAGGAAGATGACTTCACAAATCAAAGGCAAAACGAAGAAGGAGGAGGAGGAGGAAGAAGAGGAGGAGGATAAGAAGACTTCACAAATCAAAAGCAAAATTAGTTGAAAAAGCAAACCTAAGCCAGAGGGTTATTTCATAGACACCAATGAACTGATCCTAAAAGTCTATACAGCAAGAAAATATCTCAAGAGAGAGCCAACACAACGAGGAAGGAGAATGAAGCCCAGGGATGGACACTACCTGGTTTTAGGACTTATAAATCTCCAGTAATCAAGGCATTGTGTTATTGGCAAAGGAACAGACAAA